GCCCCCGCCACCCCTTTACGTTTGATTCCTCCTTTCTCTCCAGATTTTCACCCTCTTTGCTTCAGCTTTTTGTGAGCCCACACAGTCCCTCTCCATCACTGTCTGTCTTCTTCAGCTCTTATGAAAGTATAATGGTGCTGAGATTCAAACAATGTGGGTCACAAACTGGGCCAATACCCCGTAGCATTTCCCTTCTCGGGGAGAAAAAGATGGCGCTTTAATTTCAGGCCGTATAAAGAAACAAGGGCCGGCCTGGAGAAGGACTGAACTTAAATCTGTCACACATTTTTCAACCATTTCCTCTTTTTTTCATCAGTTTTTGCTTCTTTCTCAGAAGTTTGTTTGTTCTGGAAGCTGCAGAAACAGACTTTAAACTTGTTCACACAACGTTTAAAAGGAAACTTTTTAATAAATTATCATTAAATGGGGGAGTGTGGACAGTTCTCAAAAGGATTTTTACTTTTTGTTTGTTTCTTTTCTACTTTTATTGCCTCAGTCACAATTAAGTTCATGCAAATCTGTTCAAAAAGTGGAACTACGGGGTTAAAGTGCCTGTGACGTCAAATTTTTCTATTAAATATGAATGCATTTTTAGAAAGAGGACTTTGATAAAATATTGCAAAAGACATTTTATGTTGCTGAGATGAACAGTTATTGAGATATTTGCCTGTGAAGTAACAGGAAGTGATGTCATAGGGTAATGTCTGCATGTGAACAGAGCGTTGTTACAACAGCTAACAACACAGAATGTATTGTTTTGAGTCTCTATCAAAGAGATGAAGAGTTAAAGTTCAAATAATATTGTTTCAATAAACAAAAACCAGAGAGTTTTCTTTGTTAAAGAGTCCCCTTTGATGTCACTTCCTGTTTCACTTTGGCTGAGTCAATTCAAAGGAAATATAACAGTTATGGGACAAAATGGGTTAAACCATGTGTGTTATTCCAGGGGTTCTTAACCTTTTTGACCTCAGTGCCCAGTTTATTGAACATAAAGTGGCACGAGGCCCAGTCAGACATTACTGATGTATGGATCAAAATTATAATTATTCTAAATCTTGGTTTATTTTTTATTGTATTTACATTATAACTAAACTATCATAACTAACATAACTAAATTAAATACACTTACCGTTTAAAAGTAAAAC